GCTGCCACCTGGGCACGTTGGGATTTTTGTATCACCTGCCCTGATCTGGTTAGGTAGATTTAATATGCTCATAGCAGTTGAACTTGAGAATGACTTGTGAAGTAGAACCAGAGGTCAGGACTAGTTGGCAGTGTTTTGACTTATATTTTATCTTAGCCTGAGTACGTTTCCACCAACAAACACGTTGCAATCGAACTTTTTTTTTTCCTGAGAAGGTTTGTTAGCAAGAGAGGATGCAATTAAGTTGGGACACGGAAGCCATGAGTTCTGGCCTAAGAGCAAACCTAAATGCTGACATCTACAGCCCTTACTTACAGACAGGGTTCTTGTTTTGCATCCCTGGAAGTGTCCAAGGCCAGGCTGGATGAGGCTTGGAGCAACCTGGTCTAGTGGAAGGTGTCCCTGCCCATGGCAGGGGGGTTGGAACTGGATGGGCTTTAAGGTCCCTTCCAACCCAAACCATTCTGTGATTCTATGTATTCAGATTTCAAAAGGCTCCTTTGGCAAAACTCTGGGGGTCGAGTAGCTGCCAGTTCATGTAGGAAATGCCTTTTCACGTACCGAAACAGGGACTGATAGGAAGGAGGGGACATCTTCCTTCATTACGGGAGACCCTAGCACCAAGAGAACCGACAGCACCCTTTGAGCAGTACCCAAGCCCCTGTCCCCATTGATGGCATCCTGGAATCAGTTCGTTCTCTTTCCTTCATGCCAGTCAGTGTCCTTTACTGCTTCTTCCATACTATCTGCAGTCCCGAAAGATAAGTCAGGATCAACTTACTGCTCTGGATCTAGGCCAGGAAGTCTGAGATCTGTTACACTGTGCCAGGGGTGTAAAAGAAAAAACACACCGGCTGCCTATAAAAAAAGGTTTTGCTCGATGCTGCTGCGTATCACACACATTTTCCCTTTAGGTTAAAGAATCACAGAATCATGGAATGGTTTGGGTTGGAAGGGACCTTAAAGACCACCCAGTTCCAACCCCCCTGCCATGGGCAGGGACACCTTCCACTAGACCAGGTTGCTCCAAGCCTCATCCAGCCTGGCCTTGGACACTTCCAGGGATGGGGCATCCACAACATCTCTGGGCAACCTGTTCCAGTGCCTCACCACCCTCTCTGGGAAGAATTTCTTCCTGATATCTCATCTAAACCTCCCTGTTTTCAATTTGTACCCGTTAGCCCTTGTCCTGTCACTACAGGCTCTTGTAAAAAGTCCTCTCCCAGCCCCCTTGTAGCCCCTTCAGATACTGGAAAGCTGCAGTGAGGTCTCCTCGGAGCCTCCTCTTCTGAAGGTCAAATTATGGAAGATCCACAGCGGCGTAGCGGTTTCAGAACATGCAGGAGGAATTACCTGCACCATCGAGCACAGGCTGTGTTTTTGGTGAAAGCATTGATGGTTTCTCCCCTGCTGGCAAGCCTAGATCTGTCGCTTGTAACAGGTGAAAAGAAACGGCTCAGGACAAACACATCAGCAGTGTTTCTGGTTGTTCTTTGCCGTGTTGGAAAGGGCACGGGAATACTAGGTCTTGCTACGTTTACGAGAGCCATCCCTGAGAAGTGCCAGTGGTTGTCTTTCAGACCATTAGTTACTTTCTGGGAACATCACAAGTGGTTGCCAGCATTTAGTACTCTGGTTGTTGACTTTACTTACCCTGCAAGCCTTCTCTGAACTCCTGTAGTGTTGGAATAGTAAGGTGTGTGTAGCTTAGCTGGCACTGCCTAGGAGGACTCTTTATGTAGAATCAGTCGGGGTAGAAAAAGTAACAGGCTCCCAAAAAATGTAGGTGAGTTTGCCTGCCTTTGGGTTTAAAAATGAAGAACCTAAACTGTGAGTGACCCTTGAAGAGTGGAGTCATTTTGGCCCTGCTGTCACTGTGGGGAGCCCCTGGTCATCTTCCCTCACAGGCTGTCGGCCTCCTGCCACAAGCGTGGAGGCTGGTGCCCGCTGCCTCGCTCATCCCGCCCCCGGCTGCGTCACTACGACGGACGGAGCACAGCAAGAGTGGGAAGCCGTGTTCGTGTGGATTGCACATGTCATGCCAACCCAGGTCACAGTTAGTAACCTTTTCTTTTGAAACCTTAAAAAGAGTCTGTTCCTCACACTGAGAAACAAAAATTGAGTGTTTTTCATTGCGATGTACCGAGGGTTCTGGTAAAAAAAAAAAAAAAAAAAGAGGGTCTCCACAACCCCTCGGGTTTTCACCGCGTTGCACTGCTGGGTGGCTGTTCTGAACAAGAGCGCGGATGGAGGCTCTTCAGCGAGGTAGTGACATACCTTGGGGTGCTCTGATGGGTCTTAACTGACTGATGGAATAGGCAACTTTCTTCAGTTAACAGGTCCATGGAGAGGACAAGGATCAAAGCCTGTAAGGAGGAGTTAGAGCTGCTCAGACACCAAGATGGAAAGGTATGTTCGCCTGTTAGATCCCTTCTTTTTTCTCACTAAGAGCATGCTTTGCTGAGGAGAAGTGCAGTTGCTTTAGGGACGAGAACCATGCCCCATCCAAAGGGGAGTGCGGGTACAGCAGGGCTGGGCCAGTGGGTCCCGCAGGTCCTGTGCGTGCAGTCCTTCGGCGTGAAAGCAGAACTGCCTCCGGTGGGCTTCCGGCTCAAACCATTCCGCGATGTTTCCTGTGCGAGAGCCATGTCCCCTGCACAAGAAGGGAGCAGGAAGGTGGGAGAAGCAGCACAGAATCTGTATTAAATAAAAAACCAGAATGATTCTAATGCCCGAGATGCCTGTGATGACAACAGCAGCCCTCTGGCTGAGCATCCCTGGGGGATCCAGCGAGGGGAATGGAAAATGTATGGAGAGGGCGGTTTTTTGCATTCCTTGAAAGGGCTGCTGGTGGCAGTGTGTGTCAGTGAGAAGGGCAGCATGCCCGGGCAGTTGTTAAAGCACAGTGTTCAGAGGAAAGTGAAGTCTGGCTTGGAACAGGCTTTCTGAATCACTTGAAGGCACAAGAGTGGAAATGGGAATCAAAATTCAGCCTTTTCCCTTGAAATTTGT